ATACAGTCAGAGATTGTAGTGCATTTGCTTTTTTAACAAATAATAACAATCCAGTAAAAATCTCACCAGATGATAGACGCTTTTTTTGTATAGAAGCTAGCGATAAATATGCTAAGGATGCTAATTATTTTATCCAACTACATAAGGAAATTAAAAGCGGAGAATATGACAGAGCATTTTTTGAATATTTCAGACAGTTAGATATTAAAGATTACGATTATATTAACAACAGACCCACTAGCGATATGTATGAGGATATGAGAGTGTTGAATATTCCAGTAGTAGCTAAGTTCTTGGAGGATTTTATTGATACAACATTAAACACAGTTCCAGTAAACCCGTATCAGATTAAGGCGAGTGTATTGTTTAATAGATTTACAACATATTTAACAAACAACAACTATAAAAACATGAACTACAACCCTGAGAAGTTTGGGATTGAATTGAAAAAGTTTAAAGGCTTTTCCAGGGAAAAAAAATCAAATGGAGCTTACTATAACTTAGACAAGGACGAGCTAAAACAATGCCTATCAGATAAATATAAAATAGAGTTTGTAAATGATTGAGATGATTTAAATGACAATTAAACAGACCAAAATACCACCATAATATTTATTATATTATGATAAGTATTTAAAGAATGGAAAGTATAGATAAGTAGGTAAGTATGGAGTATAAAATTCATTCAGTGTTAGTTAAACAGTTTGTCAGTGGGGGTTTTATAAAAACAAATAGTTTAGATGACAGGATTACAGAGAAAGAATTATTAAATATTTATCAAGATTGGTCAAAGACATTGATTAATAAAACCACATTTCATAAATTACTGGAGAAAAACAACCAAGTTTCATTTACAACAAAAAAGTACTATGTTTGTTTAAAATTAGATATTGATAAATTAAACGCAATAAATACACAACAAACAAGGCAAGATATACCGAATATAACCTACAAAGCTAATTGCAGAGACAGTTTAATTAGTTTTATCAAGAAAATTTCAAGTGAGAGCACCGAGCCTACGATTAAGAAATTCAGTTCAGAATTATATAAAGAGTTTTTAACCTATTCAACAAATGAGCCCATAACTCAAACTAAGTTCGGACTTGAAATTGTTAAGATTGATGGAATAAAGAAAAAACACACCCAGCTCGGCTCGTTAATAATAATTGATGCAATTAAATTTAGAGAACAATAGAACTACTAATACCACCATAATATATTACTATATTATGATTGTATTATATACAGACATTATATACATACGTAAATATAGACCGTCATAATACAACTTATTTACCTTATCTATATAACAACATTTATATATAACTTGGTATATAACCCAGCATATAACCTAGCATATCATAACAACTAACTAAATACATATATATTATTATTATATTATTATTATATATATTATACTTATTTAAAATATATAATAAAACAGTTAACTATATTACAGGTATGACAGTATGCTGGTCAAAAACCAAGTTAAATTAAAAAAAAAATTTAAAAAATATTTTTTGAAAAATATTTTTTGTACTATATATCTAAGTTATGGTCTAGAATGGCTAACCTAGCATATCATAACAGTTAGATAGATACGACTATATATATTATGACACCAGCCGTCATTTCAACCTTATTTAAATACATTAATACATAAATTATTACATAGATTATTACATAAATTATTACAAGAATTATTACATAAATTATTACATAAATTATTACAAGAATTATTACATAAATTATTACAAGAATTATTACATAAATTATTGAATAAATTATTACATAAATTATTACATAAATTATTACATAAATTATTACAAGAATTATTACATAAATTATTACAAGAATTATTACATAAATTATTACATAAATTATTACAAGAATTATTACATAAATTATTACAAGAATTATTACATAAATTATTGAATAAATTATTACATAAATTATTACATAAATTATTACATAAATTATTACAAGAATTATTACATAAATTATTACAAGAATTATTACATAAATTATTACATAAATTATTACAAGAATTATTACATAAATTATTACAAGAATTATTACATAAATTATTGAATAAATTATTACATAAATTATTACATAAATTATTACATAAATTATTACAAGAATTATTACATAAATTATTACAAGAATTATTACATAAATTATTACATAAATGTATAATGCAGAGCCCCCCGAACGCTTTTGTATCAGTTTCAATATATTGTTTATTAAAAATATTTTATGTAATTTTATTACATAAAATATTATTATAAATAAATTATGACATAAATTATTAAATAAACTTATGAGGTGGGGCATGGCCCGAACGCTTTTTGTAAAATATTTTATGTAAATTATTAAATAAACTTGTTAGGCGGGGCATGGCCCGAACGCTTTGTAAATAATTTATGTAAATTATTAAATAAAATATTACATAAATTATTAAATAAACTTATGAGGCGGGGCACGGCCCGAACGCTTTTGTAGAATAACTTATTTAAATTATTAAATAAATTATCAAATAGACTTGTGATGTGGGGCACGGCCCGAACGCTTTTGTAAAATTTATTAAATAAATTATTAAATAAATTATTAAATAAATTATTAAATAAACTTGTGATGCGGAGCAGGGCCCGAACGCTTTTGTATCAGTTTCAACATATTGTTTATAAAATATTTTTTGTAAATTATTACATAAATTATTAAATAAATTTGTGATGCGGGGCACGGCCCGAACGCTTTTGTAAAATATTTTATGTAAATTATTACATAAATTATTAAATAAACTTATGAGGCGGGGCACGGCCCGAACGCTTTTGTAGAATAACTTATTTAAATTATTAAATAAATTGTTAAATAAACTTGTGATGCGGGGCACGGCCCGAACGCTTTTGTAAATATTTTATGTAATAGATTACATAAATTATTAAACAAACGTATAATGCGGAGCACGCCCGAACGCTTTTGTAAATATTTTATGTAATCTATTACTTAAATTATTAAATAAACTTGTGATGCGGGGCACGGCCCGAACGCTTTTGTGTCCGGCTTAAAGAAACAACAACTTGTATTTATAGGTAATGACCGGTGATAAACAAAATCCAGGACGGATATATATTATTAAAAACACAAAGAATGATTTAACTTACATAGGCTCAACGCGACAGCCGATAGACAAAAGACTAGCCGTGCACAGAAGCACTGCACGAATGAAATGGTCTAATCAGAATACGAAGCTTTACACGTGTATGCGAGAATTAGGCACCGATTGCTTTTATATACAACTGTTGGAGGAGTTTACAGATATTAATAAACAAGACTTGTGGGAAAACGAAGCGAAATTTATAAGACAACATAAAAGCAAACTTAATACATATATACCAAATTACGGGAAACCACCATCACATTTTTTTGATTAAGATATTGCATAAATGATTACATAAAATATGAAATAAACGTATAATGCAGAGCCCCGCGAACGCTTTTGTAATACGTGTATGGCGGAGCTGGGCGAAAACCGGGCGAAAGATAAAATGAAGAAGGGGGGCGAGAGAAAAAATGAAGCAGGCGACGAACTCTTTTTACTAATTTTAAAAATATATAGGTATGCTCCACTCGCTCCACTCGCTCTACCGCTCCACTCGCTCCACTCGTGCCACTCGCTCCACTCACTCTACCGTTCCACTCGCTGGAGCGTGGCGCGAGTGGCGCGAGTGGCGCGAGAGTGGCGCGAGTGGCGCGAGTGGAGCGAGTGGCACGAGTGGTGCGAGTGGAGCGAGTGGCGCGAGCGGAGCGAGTGGCGCGAGCGGCGCGAGTGGCGCGGACGAGGTTTTGGGATGTTGGTAGTCCGGTCTTCAATTTACGGACCAGCCACTCCACCATTCCAATCGTTCCAGTCGTTCCACTAGAAGCGTGTTCCACTCGTGCCACTCACTCGCTCCACCACTCTTTCCATTACCAGAGCGAGTGGCGCGAGTGGCGCGTGCGGGCGAGTGGCGCAGACGACTTTAATTCTCCCCCCCGCGCGGCCGCAATGAATTTGTTTATCAGTGCTTTTGCTCCGTTTGTCGTTATGACAAGGAGAATAGCAGGCTTCTTGGCGAGCCTGCCTACCTTTCGTAACCGCCTTCGACTTCAACAGCCTCCTTCCTGAAGACTACCTTATGCAGCCTACACAGAGCGTTTGCCCACCGGACGACAGAGTGGACATCGACAAGATGATCATCGCGACCACTCGTAAATCCTCCACAAAATACCTTCTCAAATCCTGTCTGTACGATCATGCGCAATACCTCCCCAGTGGTCAATTGTGTGTTGGGAACCCTGACTACAGCTTGGCAAAAAGCAGGGCGCAGCAGGGATTGCAAAGTTCTGCTGCCAACGAGAACGGCTGTGGATACTCCGTGAAGCAGATTGGGACGCCAATTCAGAGTTGTTCATGCAATATTGATGATGACGATGGGGCTAAGCCGATAAACCCCAAACCTGAGTGTTTGCCGATGTCAGTGCTTTCAATTATTTACTGCCAATGTGGCTTAGCATCTTTACCTCTGTAGAGACCTTGAAGAACAATCCAAGTCAGAGGGAGGATCACACGAGTGTGTCTGTGTGCGTGTTGTGCTTGCTTTTTACGCATGAACGTACGACAATGAAAAGTAAATGTAATGTTTACCATCACATGTGTCTGCAGTTGTATGCAAATGACATGTCGAAACATAACACGGCATAATATAACATAGCGTAGCCTGGTGTTCCCATGTGTTTGCCACGCAGCGTAACCCTCAGGGATACTTCACAGGGGGCATTGGAAATTGTATGGAATGCTTGGGGGGGTGGTCACTCCATGGATGCGCGCTACTTTCGTATTCCAGTGTATGCCGGGGATACTCCAAGATATTCTGGGTTAAGGGGCCGCACGACATCCTATCAGGTTCACACTTGATGTTTATGTGCCTTGCATTGACGCCGGCTTGGGCTCGTGCAGTTGGGCTCCGGGTCGATCCATGTCTTGATGAGGAGGAAACAGCTGCCAACCACAATCTTTGTTCACACGGAGAATTATGCCATCTCAGCAGCGCCACCTCAAAGTGTTGAAGGACCAAACCTCAAAGCCACCCAGCCTCGGTCACTGCATGATTTCCCAGCTCTCCCGCCTCCATGTTAGGCAGGCACCACAAGGTCACAGTGCAGAGCACCATCCCCAGGTAGCTGGCCTGTGGCTGCAACTAAACGCAGAGCAGGGCGTTGCGAGGCGTTGCATAAGAGAATCAAGCCCGGCACCAGCAGGCAGCGGAAGCAGCGGCGAACAAAGAATGCCGCCAGCGACCCAAAAGATGATTCTATGTCCTGTCAAGAACGAAACACGATGTTCAGGAGAGGCCAGAGATTTGGGGGCCCATTTGCATCCTTGCTGTGATAGGCGTAGTGCGTCATGAAACCCGAAAGCAGCACAAAAAACTCCACACAAACCTTAGCTCCAAGCACCCATCACTTTACAGGCGTGGGTCAGCTCAGCTTAGACTCCGGCATCCACTCCTGAGGTTTTTGGGACGTCCCGACCGACAATGCATTCATGACAAAAATCTGAGCATGGTACGTACTAGCATCTTGTCCAACAACGAAGCCTGTCTCGGTGCCATGTGATGGAACCTGACCGATGCACAGCAGCCGCATCGTCCGAGCGCTGAGCCTCTGAGCGCGATACACGATCCACAAAGCGAACACCGTCCGCACTCCATCAAAATGGAGCCTTGTCTCACAGGTGTACTAATGGAAGTCGCGAGCCCTCGATGCATTCCCTGGAAAAGCAGGTCCCTGGGCACATTCCAGATCGTAGCCTTCAAGAAAACTTATGCGAATCGGCGAAGCTGAGCACAGGGCAGCCTTTCAGAAGCCTCCGTGGGCATGAACTAGTAACAACTCGACACCCGCCACGCCAACATGCTACTCTTTTGAATCAAAACCTCCGGAAAACGTAAGACTGTTAGATGGCGGTCTGTTTTTCGGAGACGAACGGCAGTTTTGGCCGTCGCATGCTCAGTTTCCGTGCAGCTTGGAACTACTTGCGACAGGAAGGGCACCATGACAACAGCGACACTATTCAGAAGGACAGCCCTTCGCGGACGTAGGAAACACTCGCATTCATCACGGCAGCCTACTCAAGAACTCTGTCGGCGAACCCACTGACCGTAGGAACAACATGCCGGGCCGAGCCGCATCGGTTGACCTGTCAGACACATGGAGGCTAAGCGGAAACACTTGGACGATGTGCAATGACCTGCCTCTCATGCGTCAGCGATGGCGCATCAGCTGGACCCCCTTCCTTGTCGGACTCATCCCGCATCGCCGAAGTCACTATTTCTGCCAATCTTGCAGAAGCAGACCGATGTGCTCAAGCACGACTGTTCGTTGCCATCCATGATCCACGCAGAACAGGCCCGTGTCTCTGCTGTTGGCTGCCGCTATTTGACATTGAGATTTGGGTTCAGCTCCGTGCTTTCACACATATGTGATATACGCTTGAGCGGCAAACCGACAGAAGCGTGTCAGCAACAAGTGCCGTCGGCCCGCTTCAGCACTATGTTCAACTCACACGCTCGGCAAGGATTCGCGATGACAAGTCCTGAATTCCTAGTAGACACAGCTCGAACCTGCCGACACAGGATTCTGCACGTCAGATGTTTGGTCCACAGGCTTGAGGTATGTCGGGCTCACCATCCGCAAACCTCATGCGACGCATCAGCGTGTGATCAAAGAACGACTTGGTAGGTCTACTGAGCCGAGCCGCATAGTAGTTCCTTGGTTTCCACACACGAACTACTTCAGACGGCCTCTGCGCATGCCTGGAGTATACTCGAGTCATCGCAGACCAAACTACTGTAAGGGCAAATCATGGCTAGAGCAGGCATCGGCAGCAAGAAGAATCAAAAGCTTCTTCTCCAAGGTGCTTGAAGAACTTCCCACGCAGCAGCCACGTCGGGTCCAGAAGATGGCTGAAGACAGGATCAAGCACACGAGCAGCCCCATCCTTCGGAAAAGATTGCTAGACTCTTCATGATCGAAAATGGCTATTTCAACGGCTAGTGATGTGACGTTCTTGGGCCGCTCCTGTCCTCCTAAAATGTGTTGGCCGTATATGTCGCTGGAATGTCGCTGGAACCGTGGGCCTGGTGATGGCTTTCGAGTGTTTGTTTGCCCTTGGCGCCCCCCGGGTTCTGAAATGTTCGCTTTTTGGTAGAATGCATAACTATGGCTACTCCTGTGACGATGACGGACACATAAACCAATTCCGCTATCAAGACGATGACCCGGCCGGTCGAGACATGTACCGATTCCTACCACGATGGCGAGTGCAGCGACCATGCTCTTACTCCTTCGGCCACGACAACTGGTGACTGTCTGGCGACATGTTGCCATGGGCTAGCAGGCTTTCCTCCTCATCCAGTGGTGGACCGACCCAGGTCTCATGACTGGCCGCGACGGCACCGATGCCGCCAGGCGCCATGTCCGTCACCCAGCCCGTGTCCACCTCAGCTTCACAGGGATGTGGCGTGCATCTCATCCGAAAGTCTTGAATGGAACAGACACGCCGTCGTAACGCAAAGCTCCGCCGATTCTACAGGCACTCGGCTTGGCAGCTGGCACAATTCATCAATATCCGGCGGCGATACATGTCCTGCCAAGCGACCGGCATCTGGCGCTGAGCATAAGGAAGGCTTGAGCTTGCGACTTGGACTGTTTGTTAAGACACGAGTCCTTGCAAGCAGTGTGTGTCATCATGTTCAGAGCAGCTTTCGCCATGTTCGTATGTGGATGCCCCGGGCTTTTGTTCTTTACCGAGAATTTGCCCTCCAACGCACCTGCAATCGGACAAGAGCTTGAATGTGTGAAGCAGGAACATGCTCTGCGATCTAGCAAGCGCTGCACTCACGTTGACGATGTGTCCGAAAGGTTCAGACTCATCTGTTGGAGCCAGCGCCTCAAACATACGAACCCTTCGAAGCATAATTGTTAAGGCTGTTCACCTTCCGGGCGACTGGCTGCAGCAAGCTTGCTGCAAAGTATGAATGGGGCTGCGGTGTTTGCAGCCAGAGTCTGTAGAAGCTCCAAAGTTTCAACCTCAAGGCCAGAATACACCCTCTCATGCACATGGAACCGGTCTCAGGCGCACACTTCTTCCAGTCGTCTCGACCTGAAGTAGAGCACAGCTGGTTCAAGAGTCCAGTCCAGTCAAGGTGAAAAAACTGCATCGGCAATGCCTCCGCCCTTATGCGTCTATTCTGCACACACCAGCTTTTGCAATCAGGAGTTCAGAAGCTCCAGTATATGAGCGATCAATTGCGCGCTCTTGCGCCTGTCTGTGATGGTAGTTGCTCCCACACCAGCTTTTCCAGAGTGCTTCCCTCGGAGCCTAGGAATACAAGCTGAAACGGTGGCCGGTCGGGTTGGGTGGGCTCTTGCCACCATCGTTTTAAGGGTCACGCACCGACTGTGCAGGTCAGGCTGGCTTGATGGTCACACGTGCTCGAGACATGGCAGCTTCGACGCAAGGAGCCCTCCCAGCGAAAGGACATTCATCAAGTCGACCATCAACACACCAAGTACCAAACGAACGGACAAAAGCAACGTTTGCTTCCTTAACCCCGGATGCGGAATGACATGGAATTTCCTGGTGGTCCGGTCATGTCTGATCACGCCTGCAGGCTGCCCTTGGCAGGAAAGCATGCTGGGCAACTCGCAAGCCGGATTGCTTGGAGATGCGCAATCCCACTCCTGCCCACCGACCCGACGAGCCCACTCGGGCCCTCTGAGAGGGTCCCTGCCTTTGGGTACTCGCGCTCCAAGCGCCGAGGAGCGTCAGAAAGCGCGGCCGGAGCCCCGCAAAGGCCCGCAAAGCAAGCAAGCTCGAACCCCATCGAAGAGCCTACTCCCTCTTCGTTCAGCCATGGCTCCAGCTGTTCTGGGCCGAGAGATCCAGCGGCTGTCTGGACTCATCGAGCTGCCCTTTCGGGAAATCCTGCAACTTGAGGCATTCGTTGAACCAGTTCTTGCAAGCCGCAAGCAGGCCGAAGCTCGCCTCCAAGGCTGCGGCCTCCTTCCACATAGCCTCGACTAGTTGGCAACTGAAGTTTTCTAAGCGTAGGTTGCTTCATGTCTAGTTCTTGCTGCGTTGCATTTGCTTCTGGAAGCGGAACCACTTCGGATCGTTGACCGTGGCAGCACGGCAAGGCCATCTCATCCAATTGTGCCGGTTGTCGGATTGCCTTACAAACAACTCTTAACGACAGCCGCACTGCAATGGATTGCAATGAAAGGCGTCTGAACACACCCAAGACTGACAATACGTGCCGGCACGGCGCCCATGACTTATTGCCATTAGCTCCGTGCAAACAGTCCCAAGAAAAGAAAAGGCTGCAACAGAGTCCGAGCAACCAGTGCCGAACCGTGCAAGTTTGCAGCCTCGCTCGCAGGGAGTGGAACAAAAGCGCCAAGAGCATTAACGAGCAAAGAACGAGCCAAGGGCCAAGGGCCCATGGGCCACGGGTGTTTAAGCTGCTGGCAGCTTTGCCCTCCAAGTCGGCCATTCGAGCATTCCACCCGTCGCGTCGAGTCAAGGTCTGTGCTGCATTGTTGATGAGGACCTGCGTCAAGACGTGCAGGACGTCCCTCTTCAAACGACCAGAGCTGGGTCAAAGCTCCGTGAGATTTAGATTTGCACAGAACAGACTGTTCCGAACCATTCTGGAGTCAAAAGCAACAGAGGGGGGGCACAGAGTTGCATGCAGAGCCAACATCCTAACCAGTCCCGATGACAGGGAGTAATTATTTTGTTACGTAGGGGAACAGCAAACCGAAGATTGAGTTTTGAAACCTTAGGAGGTCCCAATGCCTTGGGTTTTGCGAGGGCAAAACGTTGGGAACTCTCCACGTTTTCGGTGCTAACCATCCTGGCGAGACCTGCGTCGATAGTCGGGGTGGTCGGGAGCTCCAACATGCTGAGAATCCCAACGTTTCGGATTTGACCGCCTCTTGTGACCCATGTGACGATAACGGAAACAGATTTTCCGATATGTGCTTGACTTATCTATCTCATGTCGTCTCTCCCTGTCACGCCGTCGAGATGCCATTGTGGTATGGGAGGTAGGTAGGGCCGCCACGGGGCAACCATGTACAGTCACTCTGGTGAGATACAGCTGCTCGGGGGGTGGAGAATGTGTCTTGGCCTTTTGCTTTTCTTTGGTTTTTTTCGGTTGTGGCCAGGGGTGTGGGTTCTCTGTGTTTCCATAGAAAAACATCTAATTTTCGCGACGGTTTCACAGGAAACTCAGGAAACCTTTATTCTCGCTATATTCTAACAGCAAAACCCTGCATTGTCGGTGGGTGACTTATGTAGCCACCGAAAACCGGGGTCTGCTAGCCACTCCGAGTCCGCACCGTTTTGGGTGACTTAGAAAACAGATTTCGGTGTTACTTGGCCACCGGATTCAATTTTAGGGTTCAGGCTGTAAGCTTCACGCTTCCTCGGATTCATCCTATATCTTAAACACACCCCTTCATTTGGCGATCCTGCTTCCTTCAGTATGTTAAACCTCCAGTATGTTAAACCTCATTCGGCGAATTCGTTTCATCATATATCTAAAACACGCCCCTTCATTTGACAATTCAGGCCACCAGATTCAACTTTAGAGTTGAAGCTTTAAGATTAAAATCTTCATTTGGCGATTCCGGATTCATCACATACCTCAAACAAGCCCCTTTGGCGATTCCGTTCATCATACATCTTAAAAACGCCACCCCCCTCCCATTGGCGACTCTGGTGCATGTGGCGATTCCGGTTCGTCATATATCTTAACATACCCCCCCATTTCGCGATGCGAATGCATCGTATATCTTAACCGCGCCCACTCATTTGGCGATTCCGGTTCATGATAGCCTAAACACGCCCCCTCATTTGGCGATTCCGGTTCATGATAGCTTAAGCACGCCCCCGCATTTGGCGATTCCGGGTATCTTAAACACGCCCCATCATTTGGCGATTCCGGATCCTTACATGTCGCAAAATGACCCCCTCGTTGGTCGATTCCGGCTCATGCTATATCCTAAAATGTCTTAAACACGCCCCGTCCTAGGCGATTCCCGGTTCATCATATCCCCTTATTTGGCGACTCCGGTTCATCACATATCTTAAAACGTGCCCCTGATGCGCGATACCGGTTCATCATATACCTTGAACACGCCATCTCATTTCGCGACTCCGGTTCATTGCAGACAGAATGCTCGCATGATAGGATCCAGAATTTGAAACACTCACATGCCTTGAAGCAAGCTTGCGCGGCTCAAAAAAAAGCGGAGGGGGGGTTGGGGGGCCCCCCCCCTCGCAAACACAATGCTCGCATGATGGGTGCTTTGAAGCAAGCGCGGGGGTTGGGGACAGCCCCCCATTTGTAAACAGAATGAACGCAGTGCTCGCATGATGGGTGTAAAAAAGACTGCTTGGAGGCAAGCGCGGGGGGTTGGGGGCAGCCCCCCATTTGTAAACAGATGAACGCAGTGCTCGCATGATGGGCTTCAAACAAACTCATATGCAGTGGGGCAAGCTTGCACGGCTTGCCCTCCCGACTCTGTTTTTCTTCCTTTATTTCGTTATTTCTTTCGTTGGTTCTAGCGTTCCTTATTTCTTCCTTTGAATATGTCATTTGTTTGGTTCTTTCCTTCTTTCTTTTGTTATATGTTTCTTTCGTTCTGTCCCTGCCATCTTCCCTTCAAGTCCTATGAGAATAAACAGAAAATATACGTTTTCCTTTGTCGAGAAAACAGAGCTTTCCTGCTAAAACAAAAGAAAAAATACATGAACCTAGAGGTACTGCTGTTACAATATTGCGAAGATAAAGGTTTTCCCGTGAAAAAGTAGCGAAAATTAGAGGTTTCCACAGAGACCCCACACCGCCCGCCACCACCACCACCAAACACAAATGCTAAAGAAAAAATACCAACAAAAATTGGCCCCCCCTTCCTGCTCGGGACACTAGCTAAGGCATTCGACAAAAACTTGATTGCGGCTTCCCCCAAGAAGCATTCAAAAATGCTTGGCTTGGGGAGCTTGTTCCCATCCTCTCTTCTCTCTTGCAGTTCCCGGCCCCGTCCCCGCGACCCTGCCGAGGCTATCAGCTCAGCTTTCGGTTTCGGCTTCGTCGTCCCCCCTGCAGCTGTCCTGACTGGTGGCAAAACCAAAAAAACGTGTGCCCGTTTTTGAGATGGGGCGCCAGCACTGGTTTTGTCCTCCATGGTCGGCGTCTGCGTTGTTCGCGTCGTCGTTGATGCGCCGATTTGGCGGCTGCTCCCCATTGCTGGCAGGTGCAAGGTGATCCTTTTCAGTGTCGCCCCCCTATGCCCCCCTTTTCGTGTTCTTCAAGCGCGCGGAGGAGCGCGCTGTTGGTCGGCGAGCTCGGAGTCTCAGGTCCGTCGTAGACTGTGTCCCCGCCACCATCTTGAAGTTCACTCAGAGAAGGCGGCGTTGCTCCCACTGCAAGTGGGTAAATGGACACGTCGGCTCTACAACCGTCTTTTGCCCTGTTGTGGCAGATGACACAACAACACCACCATCAGTATGAGCTGATTCCCCCTCAAGCTCGGTTGTCTGGCTGTCCACATAGAAACTTCTGGTCCCCTCGTCTTGCCTTCACATGATCATGTCCCCCAGGCCTCAGTCATGTAGTTGACAATTTGCTCCAGGGCGGTGTAGTCCCTGGAATTCGGGCATGGCCTCGTCGTAACCCATCGCCAGGGGTTCTTCAAGGAGCCCCAATATGGTCTCCCCCCAAGACGAACTGCACCACGTCACATCACCATTGCAGGTTCTTTGGCGGGCTTGGGCAATGGCTTCCAGGGCTCGGACGGCTCCTCGCACTGAGTCTTGGAGCTGTTGTCCCCCTTCGCCAACATGCTGGTGGTACAGTTTGAGAGTTCCTGCTTCCACCAGTTGTTCCAGTTTTTCGAGCCTCTGTGTCCAAGAGGTGCCGAAAGCTGCGAAGTTCACGACGTGCGTCTCCAAGATGGTTGACCCCCTCATGCGTTTAACCTCTCTGCACCCGGCGTCTGTAGGCGTCTTGGAACCCGCGCCTCCTTTTTTCTTTCACAAGTGTAGAAGCGAGGGCAGGCCCCTCGCCCCGGCGGGTCGGCCCCCGTCTCGCTCGCTCTCTCTCTTTCTTTCGTCAGGGATGTGGTGTAGGGGTTTTACCCCCCACCCGCGTGCAGGCTCTCTCTCTCTCTCTCTCTTTGTAGGTTTCCTTCCCCCCTGCGCTTTCTCGCTTACTCCCTCTTCTTCAGCAGGGCTTGGAAGGCTCCAAACCCCCCCGGGTGCATGGCCCCCCCATGTGTTATGGGGCTTTGTGCAGTGTAATACGATAACTAGTTCCCCCTGATCGGTTACACATAGAACTAATAAAGTGTTTTGCTTATCTGAAGCCAAAAGAGTTTTCAAGAGGGTGCACCGTTTTGTTCTCGAGACACTCTACTGCAGCTGCGGGCGGACTGCCCAAAAAAACAATCTCAGTGTAAGCAACAGTGCATCAGCCTGACCCACTGCAGTCCCCCGGCTGTGTTCAAAAGGTACCCAGCTGTTTTGACCGTTTATGGTCAGCTTGCCTCTGTGCAAGACGAAAGCAACAGTGTAGGATTAATATAAGAAGGACATGCAAGCTCAACTGCACAGCGCTGTTTGTCCCCCGCATATGTTGACTGGGGACTGGGAGCAAGTTTCTAGCAGAGTTGGAAGGCCTTCAACATCTAAGCAACAGTAACAAGACAATGATAAAGCAGCGAAAACCTGGTCCCCCAACCCTCGTGACAAGGAAAGCAGTCTTTGGCCGCTCCACGGCCATGTTGCTTGCAAGGTTTGTCTTGACATCAGAACTAGGCATGCAAAATGTGCAGCCGACTGTAAAAGCTGTGTTTGCAAGTGCAGTACCACATGTCCCCTGCGTTACGAATCAGGGGCAAGCGTTGGTATCGGAACTGAGGCCCAGACCAACAACAGCGACGGGTTGACACTACCGACACTGCACTAGAGCTGGTTTATGTTCCCCTGGGCATTCAGTGGGCTGCAGGCTCAGGCGGCTCTCAGTATTTCTTGCGGTTGATCGTGTAGAAGGTCACATTTTTCGTTCATGGAGGTGGATCGCCAGGATGCGTCTTCGTCTGTGGTTGTCATTCGAGCCTTCGTCGTCACCCTCCGGTGTTGGGCTCCGTGGTCTTCTTGTTGCAGCTGCGCAGGGACTAGCAGGAACCCAGCGGTTTGCGTCCCCCATGCCGTGCTGGGCCAGGTTGTCCTCGTTGTTCTTGTGGTATGAGGCGCGACGTCCCCTGACCAGGTTCATGGCAGCTTCTTGTATCGTAGGCAGCATGTGTTGCGGATAGGTCGGCAACTCATGCAAAATGGCGCACAGGGTGCCCACCGCCTGACTCCAAGCTGGCTGGAGACCGCCTGCTGCTAGGGGGCTGTCCCCCGGCTGCCTGGCTCACCACATCCGAAGGGTGTGCGGGTATCCTCCCAGGCCGTGGCTCGTCTCTATCTCTCTCTCTCTCTCTCTCTTTCTTTCGCCAGGCTAGGGAGGCGAAGCCGCCCGTTGTTGGCGGTACGCAT